ATGATCCGTGAGTCTCCTTCCGCAGTGAGATGTCAAACAATAATTGAGGCCTACAATGTTGTCACAAATGGCGTTAAGCCAATACCCGTGTGGTTATCACAGTTGTATATTGCCACTTTGTGGCAGGCAAATCCGAAACCGGATGCCGCCAACCATATTGTCACTATAATTGATTCACTCCAGTTAGCTGGAATGGTCTCTACCTTCCAAACCTGCTCGAACAGGGAGGTCAGTGATTTGCATAAGACCCCACCTACATCCATAAATTATGCAGGTGCGAGCGAATCCGAACCAGCAGCACGAAAACGATTAAGGGCTGCGATCGCGTTTCGGACCTCAGTACCCAATGGAGCCTCCAGAGTAACTGGCCATGGATCAGCCTGCAACACCTGAGTCGGAAGAGATCCAGAATCAGGATGACAACGGAACTGCTCTCGAAAGTGCTCCGCCCAACGAGCCACACGGCGCTCCTTATTATGAATCAGTGCACCCGCGCTGTCTCTGATTGTCTCACTGACACCTGGTTTCCTGGGACCAGTGGTGCGGATCAACTGGAAGAGCTAGCGATAATAGTCAATTACTCCTGCTTCCTTTATTTCTTGAGCCCGACTGGTCCACCAGGCTTCCTTGTCAGCACGCAGGCTCCGCTTTAGTTCGCGGCTGGTCACATTGTGCTCAGAGCCAGCCGGGAGGTTTCTTCTGGATTCCAACAGGTTCACCGACCTCTCGGATATCCAGTGACTTATGCGGTGACGATGGATAGGGCCGCAAGCGGAGGCTCCTGCATGTTGCATGGCGGCAGATATTCTATTCCCTTGAAGCTCTGTGGCATTAGGACAGGGAGCGAAAGTTCGGTACGTGGTGCATCCTGGTAGGCTTGCCTGAAGGAAAGCTGAGATAAGTTCCCAGTTGCCAATCGAGGAAGACGCTTGGTACGCCTCCCGGTAAAGGTCATGGAAAAACGACAGCGTACCAAGGCATGATCAGAGTCGACGCAAGTATTCCAGAACGAGTGACAATCCAGGATGGAACCACGCCACCTGTAACTTATGGTAACGTGATCTATTTAGGTCCATCACTGGCCAAGTGGCAGTTCGGCGCCCAGTGTGGCTGAAAGCAGTGCTGTTAAGAAACAGCTAATGCTCCCTACACATCTGTAACAGACGCTCGTCATTATCCATCCGTTCGGAGTTAAGTCCATACTTATCACCTAGCAAAATTTCTGAAGAGCATAGACGACTTAGCTGCGCATTCATATCCCCTGCAAAAACGACGACATCAGTATTGATAACGCTGCGTAGTAGCATGTTCAGTTCGTTGTAGAAAGCGTCATTCCCAGCACCGGAGTTGCAATCGGTAAGAGCATCAGCGGAAACTAAAATCAAACAGCGTCTAGTGTTACTCTGTAAGCTAACCTTCGTTTATGTCGTCAAACGGACTGCACATAAACGGCTGCTCACCGGAATCAAATATAGTAACGATGACTCGGTCTTGGAGGTGAGAACAATGTCCACTCTATGCAGTGGTTTCAGGCGGGCAACACCCAATTCGCTGCTGCTTCATCAGCTACGGTCCTAGTGATCGAATGGCCAAGGTTCACTTCAATGGGAATCGCGGTCCACTTTGAGATTGCACATCGCAATCCATCCACACAACGTGTACTTCAAATTGACTTTCCAATGTCCACTCTAGTTTGACCAGTGGTTGCCGCATCAACGTCTTCGGATGAGTGCAACCAATAGCGAGAGCACAAACCGAGTGCAGTTAATTTAGCAAACCCGTGAGCGTCATTAAAGCTAGTTTCGGACACACAATGTACGTCAATACCCAGAGTGTCCAATGTGTGGGAGAATGCAAAATATTGACCTGTTTGTCTTACAGTGCGACGTTGAAAGCCGAACCGGAAAGGGGACAGTGTGACCTTAAAAGGAACTTTCGACGATTAGTCCAGTGCGTGGTGAGGAAACACAGCTGCAGATGGTACGACTCCAGTGATATTGCGGTTGCTGCCAATTAAACTGCGAAATATAGGGGGAAGGCTAGTAATGGGGATTTGGAGGGGAGTAAGAGAAACGGTTGGAAAGAAAAGAAGGGAGGCGTCAGCAGTATCATGTTTTCACTTATCTGCCCTGATGTATGAGCAGGTAAGGTGACCACTGATAATCTACGTGACGGCCGGTGAAGGATATGATTGAAGTCTGAAGAAGTCATGGTTGTACGTAGACTGAGATACTGCCAGGGCGCCCAGACCTAGACAGGAGAACGATTAGGGTCCCGAACCAAAGCCTTTGGCTTAAAAGCCTGTCCGCAAGGCAGCGGATGTGGCAACAATTCGGTTTTACAGAAATGGATGTCATTCCACGTTAAACTCCCAACCTGGAGGACCAGGAGACTGAGTTCGTCCGACCATTGACCAACCTGGTAGGGGTAGCTCTTAAGAGGCACAAGGGCTCCACCCAATGTAGCTCAATGGGTAAACGAAGTACGAAAACCGTCACACCACGTTAAGGTCCAGTCTCGTCATCTCATGCATAAAATGAGTAATCAGCAACAGCATGCGTGCTAGATAGTGGTGCATATGGATATAGCAGATAAGAAGGGAGTACGTTAGCGTGCTGTGGTCAGAAATAAAAGCTGTAACAATAAACTTATCCCGAATCCCAGGAAATCCCAGGAAAGGATACACAAGGTAGGTAAATCGTTGTTTTCCAAAAAAAAATCAGCCATAGCGAAACAGGACCACTGTTTTACTTGTACGTGAGCATTATTGATAAAAACTGCTTTCAACCTCATGCAACGTCGTAATCATCATCATCATCATCATCAATACACACCTCAGCTATTGTGTCGTAATACAAAACGATAAGGTATTAAATATCGCCGAGAAAAGTACGGAGAAAAGTAATATTATGCTAAGTAAAACAGTATGCATGAGTGTGAGATCGTGGTTGAAAAGAAGCGAAGCGGGGGAGTAGGAACGAAGAAAGTCACAACACAAACGCCATTGAGGTCGGCTCTTCGCCATGTCAATTAGTGCATCCAACCAGACTTATCCATCGTCCTTGGGACCCCTTCCTGCTAGTCGGGAGAAACCAGTCGACGCCATGTTCAAAATGGGGGAACCCATATCTCCTGACCATGTCGTCGGTTGGTCCCCTTCCTCATCCACAACCCGGTCGCACAAACAATGCACGTCGCGGGAATCAATGGGTTGGCATACGCAACATGTGGTCCAACCATGGGAGCCTGATGCGTAAAATAACGGTGCTCAGTAGTTCACTCCCTATTCCTACGCCAAATACACGACACCAAGTACGCTCTTTACTCCCTCGGTGTTCACACTAGACATGAGCTAGGCTGAGAAGGAAGCGATGATCTAATGTCCCTAACCTCTGTATGTTTATCAATCCGATGGGGCAGGTTTGACAACCGTGCAGGAGAGTTGAGCAGACGGCAGTATTGTAAAACCGCTTTCCGGAGCGAGTGATGTCGCGCCGGCGCCACATGTGGCGTATAATGGCAAAAGCGTCTTGAGCGTTTACTATATGGCTCATGACTTCGTTTTTTATTCCAAAGGCGCTGATATAGGTACTCATGTACTTACATTTCTGAACCACTTCTACCAGAGATCCAGCAAGGGTCAGCGCAGGAATGGGTCCCTGCTAATCTTGGTGAAGCACAGCCAGTGCTAATTTGTCCAAGGCTGTTTGGTATGTGTGAGATCGGTCACAGATAAGGACAATGTCGTCGACATTGCTCAAGTCAAGCAACATTACAAAAGTATTGCGAAAACAAACGCCTCTTTCGTAGCTTTAGTCATCTCTTTTGTAATCAAATCCATTCTAAGCAACGCGAAACCAGCATCATTCTTCAGACAGGCAATTAAGAGTTTGACGTGTTACTGTTATGCTTGCCAAATCGACGATGATGAGCTGTAGAAAAATCGGAAACTAAAGAAATCGAGCAGCAGCAAAACAACGGCGAGGATATCGTACAGGGAAAAAATGACGAAACATACACTCCGAAAATGTCGAAACTGCGGAAGGTTTTGAAGACGAAAGCAATACTGATAAGTACGTGTTGGAGTCATGGGAAAGTAGGACGTGGTAGGGATGAACATTAGCCAAAGGGACAACTAGGGACCAAGAACAAGGGGACCCTGAAGGGTTCTCACTGATACTCCTACCATCTGATAAGGATGCTACGAAATAGCTATTTTTAACTACTCAGTGGATTCATAATATCGGTAGTGTCAAATTAAAAACAGGACAGCTACAGCCAAGTGAATTAATTAAAATTGGAACGCTGTGAGTAAATAAAAGGCTTCTCTGTCTGACGCACAGCATCATGACTAACATCTCTACACGGTGTCCATAGTCTGGACACAGGGAAATAGGATATTTTTCATTAAACTGAAGTGAGAATTCCAAATTAGTAACCAAATGTTGTCTCGACAAAACAAACATTGCTTTGTCAAAGGCTGCTTCTTCGCAGTTAATGCTCCAACTTGAAAGTCTTAGAGAAGGATCTCCTGAGTGATTCCAACAGGATGCAGATCCTTCCCATTTTGCCACCAATGTAAGAGACTGGTTGAATGACAAGTTCCCTAACTAGAATGGAAGATGAGATCAAGTGGATTGATCACCTCGTTCATCAGACCCTAGTCCTTTTGATTTCCTTATCTGAGGCATACTAAATGAGGAAGTGTACCCAACAAAAAAGTCTAATGCACTTGACTCAACAAATAAGCAGTAAATATAACAAAGTTGATGGCGGTGTGGATTTATTGCACCTAGTTCACGAACACTTTGCGAAACGCATCAACATTTGCATTGTAAATGATGTTGAAGAGGTTATATGAGGAACAATTTGCATTTTTACCCGTGTCCCGACTTTACAGACACCCTGCATTACAACGCCAAAGGGAAGCAAATAAACCCACGCGTGTAGTTCAAAGCGGACCCATCACAATTAACCACATGTTACAAAAGTTGACGTACCGCATCAAAAGTACAACGGACTCAGGAGCAGCAGAGGATGTATTGTGTCGTGTGGAATCAATGTGATCGACCCGCGTAGGCCCAGTAACGGATGCTACCTCATGCAAAGAAGGTGGAAGAAATGGATGCGGACCAGCGCACAGGTGAACTTCCGAGTTTTCTAACGTCTATCAAACGAAAAAGGAGGTAAAGGCACTAAATTTATGGACAAGAGAAAAGTCGGTAGGTAAACAAAGTCAAAGAAAAATCTGAGCCTACTAAGAGAAAATATAAGATGCAAATGTCCCATGAAATCGGGGAACTGTAAAAGTCGTCGAAGTGAGTTAGTCGACGATGCAGTATGGAGACTAGAATGTAGCCGATATAAACGACAAGACGGTCAAAACAATGCATTTATTTTATTGCCCAGACAAGTAAAAACATGATCAATTCTTGGAGATGTGTGTAGACCTCCTATCCAACATGTTGGGAAACGCAAACTCGCAGTGTTTCATGTATAAATGGGAATCCATATATCCGACAGTGTTCTCCTGGTTATAGCATGAATTAACCGCAGTGGAAAATGTGCCCCAGTCCGCCTGAAATGTGCGACGTGCTCTACAGACTTCAAGCCGACGAAAAATGTAACCCCAAAAAGTAAACATAAGAATGCTGAGTGTGCACCGATGGAGCCAAGGCAGGGCCAAGTGGCGCTGATTGTAATAGTTTACATCGTGAAGCTTCAGATTTCCGAAAGTGGTTCCCAGAGAAATATGCGATGAACTGCTAGTTACAACAAGATGAAATGAACCTAGAAATGAACATGCATGCCAGTCTACCGACTTACGCGAATATATGCTCCGTCTCAAGAGGGTACATGGTGAATTTGTCGTGGAATGGAACCATAAGCGACCCATATTTCGTGATGCTGTTGATGATTGTATCAACTGACGGTTAGCAAACACCTTGAACGGCTGCCGAATGTCTCATTAGGCCTAACTGGCAAACCTCAACCTGCTGCTGTTGCTGGGATATAACGGTTTCTAAGTATTCTGGTGAAAATACCAGCTAGACTAAGGGTTCCTCCGTCACCAAAAACCTGTTGTGACTCCCGGAATCAGAACTGTAGGTTTGCTATCATGTCGCCTTGACAGCGCAGAAGCAAACATCGCTGAAGCCGGTGTATTGACACAATAAAAACACAAGTCTGGTGGAACCGTGGAGGTAAACACATCAAAACCAAAATTTTGATATCGGTGGATAAACTTAGTCGTAAAGGACCCTGGAGAGCCGAAAGAAGAGTTTGCAACACAAAGACACGAATGTTCGGATCGTAGGAAAGCGCTGTTCCGAGAAAAAAGATGGTTTCTTGTTTTGAAATAACACATTTTCCTTCTGAACATTTTCAGAAAATACAAGCAATTCTCTCGGCACCAGGCAAGTTACACAAAGATTTTTCTGCGCTGAGTTCCGTTCAACTTGAATCTCCAGTCTGGCTGGGATACGTTGCACGGACTGTAATAATAAAGCACGAAGGACGGTCTTGCCGAGACCTATGGGACGCAGGTACCACTTGCTCAGCTGCGAAACGGCAAGTGCGCCGGAGCTGACGGAATACTATCAGAAGTGTTGGAACACGGCGGAGCCGCGCTGGTACATGTGTTGCACCACTTCGTGCAACGAGTGGGGTTCGAAGGGGAAATGCCAGCTGAACTGAAAGACACCCTTGTAATACCAATGTATAAAGACGAAGGGAGCATGCAATGTGTCAAGAATTATTGTGGTATCAACTTGCTAAGTTGCATGTTGACTGTTCGAATCCTGCTCAACCGCCTCGTCACTCAGACCGTTGGACCGAGCGTGGTGAAAGAGCAATGTGGATTTCGTGGATATGGTGTTCGCGGCTCGTCAACTGTAGGAGAAATGAGTGAGTGAAACCAATCATTTTAATCGCTGTTTATTGACTTCACCAAGGCATTTGACACGGTCAACCGCGAGGTACTGCGGCTGGTGTCGGGTGAGTTTGGTTGCACGGATAAGTTTGTTAATCTTATTGAATGTTTGTACAGTGGTATGTGGGCGGGGGTGCAGCTGTGTAGACAAAGCTCGGATGACTCTGATGTTGTCTCTGGTGGTAAGCAAGGCTGCGGCTTGGCTACAGTCCTATTTGACATTCACCTAACTACCACTATATCCTTTGCTCCCAATGTCTGTGATTACTGTGTTCGTCACGAGCATCGTATCGATGGAGCATGGCTGAACCTCCACCGTTTGCCAGAATTATAGTGCGTGAAACAAGCATCCAGATGTTATCGTTCGCACACAACGAGGAAGAGGTGCAGCGCATGACGAAGGCACTCGCTTCGACAGCGGCCAAGTTCAGACTTATCATCATCTTTTTCAGCCGTCACCCGGAACGGAAGCTGTGGGTTGGCCGCAAATGAAGATTGCTGATGACATTCTGGAGACCACATCAAAATCTTGCTACGTAATGTATGTACTTTCTACTGAACTATAAATGACGAGTGGATTGCGCATCCGCTGCTGCATTCGGCAACCTGGAAAATCAGATGTGCAAGAATCACCAGCTGATCGTTGGGACGAAGCTGACGGTATACAAGTCGGTAGTTCTGTCGGTTCTTCTTTACGGGAAGGATACATGGACGCTATAGAAAAGGACGTCCGAAAATTAAAGCGCTTAAATCATCAAAGACTGCGTCGGATTTGGCGCATCCACTGAGGTGTGAGGGTTTCTGACGCGGAGAGTTCCGCTGATGTAGTATGTATGGAGTAGACTGCATACTTCCGCTGCGACACATGAGGTACCCCGGACATGACTGCCGTATGGACGCGATGAGGATACCGAAGCGCCTACTGTATTTCAAACTGCGTGCAGGAAAGTGGGATGTGGAAAAACCGAAGCTGCGCTACCGAGATATGATCAACATGTGCTTATTCCTAGCAAAGGTTAAATTAAGGTGTTGGGAAGCAATGGCAGTAGCTCGCCAGCACATCGAGAATGTCATTACTCAGATTCATTGGATAGGACTGAGGTAGCAAAGAGAAAACCGTCAGTTACGTAGTTAAGAACCTGGTGCTGTAGCACATCCAGTCATGTGTACCTCGCCCAAGCCAGACTTGTCAACCACTAGTGTGGCCAAGGTGGGTCAATATCGAAGAGGCGACGAGTATGTCAAACAAGTGTTAGTGCATGCGAAGTACGACGTTTCCAATACCATTTGTCAACACAAGAAAATTACGTAGTAGATAACAAAAACAAAAGTCATCGAACAGGCGCGTTTTCAGTTTTCATATTAAGCCTACTATACCACAAAGAAATGAGATGAAGGTGAATATCAGGTAAGGGTACAGGTTAAAAATCCCGGATGGTCTGAGTAGCCAAGCTAGGTGATTGGTCCCACAGCGATCAAGGGTGTTTGTGTGTGCGTGGTGTTGTCCACACTGTGTCAGTGTTACAGGGCATCAGGGTAGAGTGAGTGCCCGGACAGATTTCTTATGCGCACATAGGTTAGGGTCATGAATCCCAATGGCGATTGCCACAACCGCCGCCAGTAGAGGACATCTAACCGCTCATGTGTGGCTTCTGGGTACGCGATAGATGGGCTGGAACGCCACTTGCGCTTTGACCTGGTGGTTCGAATCGACAAGCTGTGTAGATACTGCGTTTGCCACTGCTCTAGTCACGCCGCTATATACCGCAAGGCTGGACAGAGTGTTCTGGCTTTCTCGGACAGTCTCCTGGTGGTTCTTCCAATATACCTTGATTGACAAGAGCAAAAGAGAGTACACACAGAAGTACTTGACCTTGGAATTCTATTCCTAAGTTGTTAACTCAATCCGCGCTAAGCGGAAGCACAGACGAAAGCTTGATGCGGAGTAGATATGAGCGATGACATCAGAAAGCCTCCTAGATGTCGATCCAGCTATCCTGTCCCCCTCGAACAATAGGATAGACAGGTTTCTTTCCTACTGTAATCATTTTTACTTTTGCTTGTCGAGGCTCCATATTCCTCCAGACAAAATTCATCGGATAGCCATTTCTCTCAAATAGGTTTGGTACAAAGTTTAACTCATCTGGCAGCATGTCCTCGCTACATAGCCTTCTTTCTTGCTATGTTAAGCATCGAATAAGTTTTCGTCACTGACTGAACGGAATGAAGCTGGAAAAATCAGTGGATTACCCGTTTAATATTGTCTTTCCATTCACACTCCGCTGGATAGACCCGTCAGATCTTCGGTTGATCTGAACGTCAGTACGACACTGAACTGTTGCAGTAAGATTCCAGCATGAATCTTATGTTGGTATGTGCTCAGATAACTTGCCTTACTAGTTCTGCTGTCCACAGGTGACTATCTGAGATGCTAAATATATCATCAACATACCGTCCGTAGTAGACAAAGTTGTTGATAACTCCGGTGTTCCCACCAGACATGAGCCAAGCTGTGAAGGTAGCGATGATGGAACGTAGCTAGCCTCTTTATGTCTGTCGGCTTGACGGGCCAGGTTACACAACCGCATAACAGTTGAACGGACGGCTACATTGCAAACTCTACCCTTCAAAGTGATAGTGATATCGCGTCGGCACCACAGGTGGCCGAGATAAGCAAATACGCCACAAGCTTTTATTATACGGTTCACGACTACATCATCGATCTAAAGAGCACTGAAAAAGCTTCCCAGGTAACTGAATTCCTGAAACAAGGGGGTCAGCGCAGGGGTTGGTCCGTGCTGATATTGCAGAAGGACTACGCATTTCGAGGGAGCAAAGTATAGCCGGAAATAAGTGACAGCAGTTCAAGACTGCTTGGCACACCTGGGAGCTGTCACAGACAAAACAATGTCGTCGGCGTACTACAAGTCAAGAAGTCGCCCACCTGGAAGCAGCTGCACAATTGTAGATGGTGAGTAGCGAACGCTGTTTCCATGAATCTTTTACCGCACAGCTGCAGATAGTAAATGGCGGCGACAGTATGTCGTAAGCCCTCACTCTGCCAGTACTTTGCGCAAACAGCGCGCGGATAATGTTTACCTATTTTTCGGGCACACGTTTCTTGAGGAGACAGCCCCGAAGTGTACATGGATTCACCGAATCAAAGGCACTTTTGATGCCTACGAATAAGATACCAATAAATATCGCGGTGTTCCAACAATTGACGCAAAGTAAAG